GAAGTTTGGAGCGCTTCTGCAAGGAGAGAAGTTATCAAGCGGCACCACGTTGAAGAACCATCTGAACAGGTTGAAGGTGGGCCTCACGTTGTGCACCCTGCACTTCAACTTGAAAAACACCACCACCATCATGACTGACGGCGACAGGCGCCCCAATGGGCACTCACACATCGTCAGAATCCCCTCCAGGATAGGATCTATGGGAAAGCGCAACCCAAACCTAAAATACTCTTGGTAGATGTCGATCCACTAGGGCCCACACACACCGACCCTAGAAATGAGCGAAGGGGGCGCGTACCACCAGTCACGCGGAAGCTGAAGACTAGTCACAAGTTCGTGCACTCGTGCTAAAGTCACCGGCGATTGATGATCCGGCCCAGCCACGTCAAATGGCAGCCCCGCGGTCTCGGTCGGTAGATGATCCGGGGGAAACGCCTTCTCCCATGTAGTGATCTTATACGAACCATTAGCAGGCATGAAACCCAAGGTGGAGGCGCTTGCTGTCCCGCAGATTCAGGCGCCCTCTCTAAACCAAAAACCGAACCAGGCGTACAATTTTGAGTCGGGGTAAGAGTCTCGCCCACGCCTAAGTATAAAGTAAAACCAAAATGGTGCCCAGGAAAAGACATTGAGAAGACCTTGAGGGAACTTACCAGAGTTAGAAGGGAGGTTGGAAGTAGGGCCCGACCCAGTGTTGGAGGGGCGATTGGAGGCGGCGCATGCACCAGCGTCAGAGGGGCGATTGATGGTGGCGCTCGCCCCAGAGTCAGAGGAACGAGTGGGGGCGGCGCCTACACCAGACCCACCGGCAACCTTGTCCTGGGGAGAAGCCATGTGCTCGAGAAGTGCGAGAAGGGAGAGCGGCGGTATGGAAGGGAGAGTAGAGAGAAGTTAGAGAGAGAGGGAATTGTGAGGAATGAGAAGAGGTGGGGAGGCTGAAGGTATTTAAAGGAGGGAGGGACGCGCATCGACAATCGCGCCACTCGCCACGTGTCAGCATCACGGGCGGACGTTTGAGTTTCCCCCATTTTTCTTGAATTTCAAATTCGAATTTGGAATTAAAAATATTTTAATTTTAATTACAAAAGGAATTCAAATTAGCAAATTCAAAATGTTTGAGCTTAGTCTCAAATACCCGCCCGTGTGGGGGCGCGAGGGGAGTGCGTAGGCGCCCAAATACGAAAGAAGACGGAGTCCATGGGCGTCAAATACAAGAGGGAGTGCGCAGGCACCCAAATACGAAAGAAGGCGGAGTCCATGGGCGCCAAATACAAGAAAGAAGCTAAGACAGCGGATGAAAGAAGGCAGAGCTAACAGGCGCCCAAAGCAAAAAAGAGAAACTAAGACAACTAACGTAGGACATAGGCGTCAAGTCACAAAGCAGGGGAGACTAACCACTAAAATTTGAAGCGCCCCAGAGAGGGGCATGTAACCAATGGCATCTGACCGTGTAAATAAGCGCACAGCCTCAACCGCGCAAGGCGCCTACCGCAGGGCAAAGTAGTATAGTCAGGCACTCAAGTGTTGGTGACTTGAGAGCCTGACTGGGGGGCAATTGTTGAGGGCATTACTAGGAGGGCCCAACGTGGCCCATTGAGATAGGAATGGGCCGCTCAAATGGAAATCACCCTAAGGAAGGCCCACAAAGCCCACTTCAGAAAGGGTGGAAGGCACATGAGGACAAAACGCTAAAGACTCCAAATGAGTCCAGGCTGTCGAAATGGTCCCCAGCCTTCGGGCTCCTGCCAGTTGTCAGGAGCCTGACAAGGTGGTTGGGGCACCTGACAAGAATGAAGGTACAGGGCATTAAATACAACGATGACGTGGCAGAGATCAACCTCGAGTTTGGTGAGTATAAATAGGGGCAGTTGGTAGCATTTACACAGGTTGGACTCTCTCACTAAAACTCATTCTCTAAGCACTTCTCTCACTAGGAAGAGACTGACTTGATCGTCGGAGGGCTAACGAGCCCAGGCGCCCCCCCCCCTGTGCTCGTGTGTGTAGGCAGGTGCCAAGCATTGAGGATGTGGGTTTGGAGACGAGGCGTCAATGCATAAACAATTTCATTAGAGATTTGCACAATGCCGCTCTCACAAGAGACATCATGTTGCTAGAGAACAAAATCCTGATGTTCTTCTTAACAAAGGTTTTGGAGAGATTTAGGGGCAATATTGCACGTACGACGTCGGGTCTGGAATTAATTTTGTTTAAGTTGATTTCCGCATAAGAGTCTCGCCCTTGGAATCAGTATTACCCAAGTCGCATCCGAAAGATGAATCCCCCAAACATTAGTTTGATTTCTTTTAACGCCTGCTCCTTGGTGCTCAAGAAAAGCCTCTGATCAACGGAAGAGCCTGTAGCAAAACGCATATTGATAATTTTTATGTTAGGGAATTTATTTTTGGTAAATTGCATGATTAGTCATTAGGTTTATAAAAAGTTCATGTTTGGTCACTACAAATATATAATTCCATTCGTGGTCACTAAGATTAGTTCAATAGTTCAAGTTTGGTCACTCTCCGTTAGTCTCCATTAACTTTTGCTGATGTGGCAGTCAACTTTCATAGTTGACCGTTAAATGAGTGACGTGACTATTAAAAAATAATAAAAATAATAATATTTAATCTACTAATTGGCATTCCTTTCTCTTCTCCCCTTTCTTTTCACCAACTCGACAACCACTCCTCCCCACCATCAAACCCCAGCAACAATACGACACGGAATCGACCCTATGGCCGCCAACCAGCCCACTTTCCCTCTCCATGAAGGAGGCGTAACGGAGCTCCATTTCGTCCCCATTAGTCCCCCTTATCCCCATCTCCCAAATTTCCCTTCCTTTCAACGACCCGCTCTCCCTCAATTGCCGCTGCCACCGCCGCGCTCCAGCACTGCCGCCGGAGGTAATCCCAACACCGGCGGCGGAGAGAGTGCCCCTGTTACCGCTGCAGGAGGAAATAACAATAACAACAATAATAGTGACAACAGTATTGCCGTCGGCGGGAAAGTGGTGGCGGGACAGGGGTTCCCATATCAGAGAATGCCATCGTACATCCCAAAGTTCTCACCTTTCCCTTTCATTCCAACCACGCCTACCATGCCTTCTATTCCCCTGCCTCGCCTCCATCCCGATTCCGGCGGATTGCCCACATGCGGTTCCCATAAATGGCACAACCTTCATCGTCATTGTCGTCGTCATTGCCGGAGAGTAATGATAAGGGCCAGTTGCAAACTGGCGGCAGCCACTCACAACCAGGGGAAGAAGAGAAAGGGGCACTAATTAGTAAAAATTAGGTTTTTAATGAATGTTTAATGAGGTGGAAATTATTATAGATTAAATTTTATTTATTTTTTAATAGTCACGTCACTCATTTAACGGTCAACTATGAAGTTTGACTACCACATCAACAAAAGTTAACGGAGATTAACAGAGAGTGACCAAACTTAAACTATTGAACTAATCTTAGTGACCACGAATGGAATTAAATATTTGTAGTGACCAAACATGAACATTTTTTGTAAACCCAGTGACCACCCTTGCAATTTACCCATTTATTTTTGTTATTGTATTTGCATGAATTTGTGGTGTGCTTTCTACATTTTTCGGTGTGCTTCGTGATATTTGTGTTCAGCTCAATCTGAAGCTCGGTCGTGAATAAAGTATTATGGTAACCGATGATGTAGCCATCAATTTATAGGTTGCATGGTTATTCGGTGAGTAACATGGTGAGTGTGGCGGTATAGTGATTGTTGTCTCTAGTCTATAGGTGTCTGCAATATTATGGGTTCCTAACTTCTTATAAATTTGCTTCGTCTACATAGCTATTACCACGCGTAGTCATAATTAGAGCCGAGCCAATTAAAATTCGATCTTGCTGTTGAAATTAGAGCCGGGAAATGGTGCGGTCTGGTCTAGATCAGACCATATATACGGTCTATGATCTAGACTGATAGGCTGGAGTATAGATCAGAGACCAGACCATATAATATACAGTGCGGTCTAGACCATGTCAGTGCAGTCTGGTCTGGTATGGTCTGGTCTGGTCTAGATAGACCATAATGAACGAAAAATGAACAATATATTTAGTCAACCACGCAAAAAATTGAATCAATTACCAAGAAAACATTGTTTTTTTTTTGCCTCAAAACATAAACTACAACATGCATGAAGAATTTTGGCACCCTAAATCTCAGTAAACAACAAAAATACAAAGTCTAAGCATCTCAAATTGCTCCATAGCATCATAAACATTAACATAATGTTATATGGAGACACGATCGTCACTACTCTCTGGTGAAATGTGATTGTGAATGGAAAAGGAGACGATTTTCTAAAAAGTAAGTTTGAGACTTGAGTCTCGTTGGGAGAATGTGGAGAGTGATCGAGTTGGGTGCTATTATAACATGTATTGGGAAGTCGAGTGGGTTCACGGTTTGATGCGGTAAACTACGGTCTAGACCAAACCAGATCAAGAAATCAAAACATCATATAATACAGACCATGGACCAGACCAAACCATTCTTAACAGTCTACGGTTCGGACCAAACTGTGCGATCCGGTTTGGTTCATGATTTTTCAAACGGTTTGATAGTTGGAATCTCACTTTGCAATCCCAGCTACTTGATGAGTGTATATATGGCCACTCGAATCTCAAATTGAATTTTCCCTTTCATCTGCATACCTCCTTCACTAGCATTAGCATGCAAGTGGGGGAAAAAAATAGCAATCCTAACTGCCAACGCACAGTAGAGTTATGGATCTGAAACTTAGTACAAGTCAACTATTATATACTTTTGTGTTATTGTGAGTTACAACTAATTGCAGAGATTGTACACCATTCCATTCCACTCCACCCAGCAACAACGAGTTCAACAAGTGAGATCCTCGAATATCTGCTGAGATCGAGGGGGGGAAGGGAATTAGGTACATAAATAGACACAAATAAGCAAGCAGAAAATTAAAGGAAAGAGTGACCGGCGGCGGGCGGGCGGCCTCGCATGTTTCAGTGAACTATGCCAAACGCCATGCCGCAAACCACGCCGCCTTTAGCCCCGCCGCCCTCGTACCGGCTGCAAGAGTCGACAAGCAACTGTTGGAGACCGGAGAGGCAGGTTGTGCAACGGCTGGCATCCTTGGTGCCGTCGCAGACCGCCGAACCCTGGACGGAACCAGGGTTGTCGTTGGGGAACACTGTCCCGTACTGAAACCCTGGTTTGGTGGGCGTAACCGTAGCCAGCTCGGACATCACGTGAGCCACGTAGGCTGAGTAGGTTGCCACGTCGTACTCGGTTACCACGCCACCTTTGCAATACTTGGTGCTGGCGCCGTAGCCTTCCAGCACGGTGGCCATCGTGGCAAATGTGAACATCAATATTGTGGTAAAGAATGTAGCCAATGATGATAATGTTGCTCGCTCCATGGTCTCAGTTTCCTTTTATATTCTTCTTTTGTTTTCTCTCTGAATATGTGTTTGAGGTTCTGTTGGAGAAAATCCCAATTTATAGAGGAGGATGACTCTTTCTGGTTCGTGTCATTCTTTCCTTTTATTCATTTGGAAATTAAGGGCCAATGCGGTATTATCGTTAGAATAATAGCCCTTCGTGGCCAACGATGAAGTCTGTATAATGGGGAATATTAGGACACCTCAGGTCTGGCCTGCAAATTAAAGAAAGAATAGTCTGGTGTCCACTTCTTTCCTTCTAGTGGTTTGGGGCATCACATTCACATTTAGGCAGGGGCGGAGCTACAGCATGTCTCGGGGGGGCCCCGGCCCCCCCGAGAATCTCGAAAGTCACGTATAAATAAGTCGGGATCGTGTGTACAAACTATAATTTATATATAAAATATAAACCGTGCAAGGTTAAGACATAAAGTTTCTTGTAGCCCAGCGGAAGATGAACTATTTATAACCCAAAGGTCTCGGGTTCGATTCCAAAGGGAAGCAGTTTATAGCTTTCCCTAGGTTAATTACTTTTATGGTAGTTTACCTAAGTTACAACTTCTCCTTCCTTTTCTTTTATAGTAAGCGCCCTAGGTTAATTACTTTTATGGTAGTTTACCTAAGCTACAACTTCTCCTTCCTTTTCTTTTATAGTAAGCGGGCATTAAATACTTTAGTCATTAACTTTGTAATTTTTATTTTCCTTTTTAAATTATAGTTTACATCAATTAATTATCGTTTTTGCTTCTTGAAATATATTATTTTTTATTATTCTAATTTATAGTAAATATAATGTGAAAAATATTTTATATGGTTATAATAAAACAAAATTAGTATAAAAATAGATTTTTAAACCTAAATATTTTAATTATTAGTATTTTTTTTAGTCTTTTGCAGTAATGTATTATGAAATCCGGCCCCCCCGAGCACTAAATGCTAGCTCCGCCCCTGCATTTAGGTTAACGGGTACTAGTTTAATTTGGCGTAACACCTTCCGAAGTTTACAAAGAAGTGATTCTTTCGGCAGTTTGAAATTATTTTTTTTTTTCTTTTCTTTCCTTGTGTTGATTCGTTAAGAGCCGGGGAAGTTTTTTTATATATACAGCTCACGTATATTGAGAAAATCGATTACTATTTGTGTAAGAGTACAAGTGTCAATTGGGGGAGTTCGGGTTGGGTTAAATCTAGGACTAGTAAAATAGGGTCCAAGATAGGGTCAGTAACCAGTGGTTACTGACCCATCAGTAATCACACGGGAGCCGTCAATTTGGGAATGGAGCAATCGTGTGGCTGGGCTGGATGTGGGGTGGGGAGGGGCATTTTTGTCCGTTTCGTATTTTTAATTTTTTTATTCATTCCGCATTTCAATGGCTAACTTTTCAATGAAAGAGAGAGAATGACATTTTCTCTCCAACTCAACTTTCTTCCTTCTCTCTTTCTTTCTTTCAATCTCTTTCCAGATCCTTTCTCTTTCTCTATTCCTTCTCTCTTACTTTTTCTTTTACAATCTCCTTTTCAAATTTAGATCTGCTCTCTTCCTTCTTCATTTTTTTCTCTAGCAATTGACGAACAAAAATTGTAGCCACTCTCTTTCATTGCATTTCTTCTCTTCATCAACTCGTTGGCCTCAATTCCGATCTTTCTCATTTTTTTGGCATTTTGGTGTTCTTGATTGAGGAAGAGGAAATGAGAGGCACCAGAAGACGATTTTTTCTCTCCCTCCTTCTGTTTTTTTCCTTTTAGATAATATATATTGATATTATGACTCTATACCATATGGTATTGGGTGGTAACGAAATATATATTGATATTACCACACTATACCCTATGGTAATGTATGGTATTGCGTGGTAACGAAATATATATTGATATTACCACTCTATACCATATGGTATTGTGTGATATTACCATACTATACCATATGGTATTGTGTGGTAACGAAATATATATTGATATTACCACATTATACCATATGGTATTGGGTGGTAACGAAATATATATTGATATTACCACACTATACCATATGGTATTGGGTGGTAACGAAATATATATTGATATTACCACACTATACCCTATGGTAATGTATGGTATTGCGTGGTAACGAAATATATATTGATATTACCACTATATACCATATGGTATTGGGTGGTAACGAAATATATATTGATATTACCACAATATACCATATGGTATTGGGTTGTAACGAAATATATATTGATATTACCACACTATATCATATGGTATTGGGTGATAACGAAATATATATTGATATTACCACACTATACCATATGGTATTGGGTGGTAAGAAATATATATTGATATTACCATACCATGTGGTATGGTCTTATTTAATACCAATCAATACCATATGGTATAGACTGGTAATAACTGGAAATTTTTTTATGTCCATAAAATATCAAAGTGGATATCATTTTGAAGGGCACAATTAATCTGATCTAACTGTGCAAAAAAAATTAAATTCCGACTTAAAATGAGTGAGAAATCGTCCATTAAAGATTAAGAGAAGAAAATTAAAGCTTTTTCGAGGAGAGAGAAGGAGGTGCTGATGTGGTCCGGTCAAAAGTCAGCGTCAGTATTAAAATAGGTGTAAGTGCAATTTTACCTTACTGCCCTTCCGCATTTAATTTAAATAAAAAAAGAGGACTGACACGTGGAGATCAGAGAAAGAGTTATTGATGGGTTACTGACCCATCAGTTACTGACACGATCCGCTCCCGTAAAATAGACCAGACCGTTTGAAAAAACCGTGGACCAAATCGGACCGTACAGTTTGGTCCGGACCGTAGACCGTGAAGAATGGTCTGGTCTGGTCCATGATCTGTTTTATATGAAATTTTGATTTCTTGGTCTGGTCTGATCTAGACCGCGGTTTATCGGACCAAACCGTGGATCTAACCGCGCGACTTCCCAATACATGTTAGTAGCCCACTCGAGCACTAACCCAAGTCCCCCAACAAGACTCAAGTCTCAACCTTAATTTTGAGAATCTTGTCCCATACTTCATTCACAACCACATATAACTAGAGAGTAGAGATGATCGTGTCTGCATATGACATTATGTTAATGTTTCTGACGTTATGGTGCGAGTTGGGATTCTTCGACTTTGTATCTTTGTTATTTACTAAGATTTAGGGTGTCAAAATTATTCATGCATGTTGGATTTTATGTTTTAAAGCAAAATAAACAATTGTTTTTCTCAGTTACAGACTCAATTTTTAGTTTGGTTGACTTAAAAAAGTGTTTATTTTTTGTTCGATGTGATCTATATGGATCAGACCGCACAGGCGTGGTCTGGTCTAGACCGTATAGTATGTGGTCTGGTCTCTGGTCTATACTTTAGTCTCTTGGTCTGGACCGTACACCGTCTATATGATTTGGTCTGGACCAGACCGCACCGTTTTCCAGCCCTAGTTAAATCGGATAGGTCGAGTTTTGGTTTATCGGGTTGTGGATCAGTCGGGCTACGGGTTGATCGGGTACAGGTAAATTGGGATGCTAGTCAATCAAATTACGGGATGTTCGAGTTAAGGGTATGGCGGATCGCTAGCGGATCAGGTTGCGAGTTTTTCATGCCAATGCATTTTATTACTTACTCTTTACTCGTTTCAACTTACACTTTATTTATTACACTAATTTAAAACATTTTTTTGAAACTTTTATGCAATTTGTTTATTTCTCATTTTGTACTTATAAAATTTTAAAACTAACTTGTCAAAGTGCTAAACTAATTTTGTATCATTTTAGATAATTTAGTTATGGCAATCATATGACTTAATAGACTAAGGTTAATCCTCATTTTTTATGGACTGACTTTGATTTGTGAATACCATCAAGTTAAGAGGAAGGAGTAGGAAAGACAAGTTTAGAGAATGGGTGAGTTGTGTTCATCTGTGCATACCAATACCATCCCGCATATCTGATTCTTGTTTCAAGTTTGGCTTGCAGATGCATTATAATTATAGTTGATCCTCTTTAACTTCGATTTTTCTGGTTGGATCATAAAGAGGAAGCACTCCTTAAAAGGTACTACTTGATGCAATTTTCAAAATGTCTTTTCTGATTAACAAGTGGGGTTAGCAACGATTGGTTGTTCGTCATTAACAAGCAGGGAAGTTTGAAGACAGGAATGATTATGATCTGGTGCACCACATGAAGACATTCTTAGAGATCGTTGATTATATACCAAGAGATGATACTATCAAAGATGGGATTCGACTACAAGTTTTCCATTCTCACTTGGAGGAGGAGCAAAGCAGTGGCTCGACTACCATCCACCAGGAACCTTCACCAGTTGGGAGACTATTTCATAAGCATTCATCGAGGAGTAATTTTCCACCATGGAAAATATAAGAGTTTAAATATGAGATTACCCAATTTCAACAAAAGGAATGAGAGACTTTCTATGATGCTTGGCGGATGTTCGTGTTTCCCCTGTCTGTGTTTCTTTCTCAGCTCCACTTTTGAGTGCCTTTTGAGTGGGCAAACGACCTCCGATTGACCCAAAACTTGCGCCTATGCATCCCTTTACTTTCTAGGACCTAAAATAGAACAAGAAAACACAACCTAGCATAACATCGGCCATGAAGAACACAAATCAACCCAAAACAATCAAGGGGTGAGGTTATAGACATGTGCGAATATAATGTTATCAACGATCATATCTTCAAACAATGCGCTCATCTCGGGCGGAGTTTTATTGAGCATGTTCCCTTGACAAAATAAGTGAATGAGAATCTAATCTTTTAGATGGAGACCGTCATAGAAGTTCTCAATCCGGAACTGCT